CCGCAGAGGCAGATGCGTGGATTGGCAGAGCCAGGAATTGTCCTTGGTGGTGGTGGTAGCAACTGGAGATGCCTCTGGCAGTGGCCCATGAGTGACCAACATATGATAATCTTTTTACCAGAGGATTATTTAATCCTCTGTAAAAACCAACTGTATTGTTAGATTCAAACCCCCCCCCCCCCATCTTGGTCTATCTGTTCTAGTGTAACCTGAATCTTCATTTTTAATTTTTTTAATTTAGAAGGAGAACTTTCAGATTCCTGAGACACACCAGGCTGTGCCAGGGGCAGACTCTGGAAATGCCAGTGACGAGGATTCACAGAGTCAGAGGATGACTGGAAGTGCTGTGCAAAGAGAAGAGCTGCCCAGAGCAGCACAGCAACTGGTACGAAAGCCTCATTTAGGTTTGTTGTAGTAGGAATAACTGACACTTTCTGACACTTTGCCAATGGTGATTGTTTCCCTAAGAATTCCACGGGTCCTGGAGAAGTGCAAGGTTCCCGCGCCGCTGCTGAGCTGCGGTTGGGCTCCCTGTATCTTCAGGGCATGGACAGCCATAAAGCTGATGTCTCAAATGTCCTTTCAAAGCAAGAAATGCAGTCCTCTGAGTGTCAGGCTGCTGCTTCTGATCCTGAAGTGCTACACACAGCAAGAGGATTTTTGGGGCACTACCCCACTTCTGAAGTTGTTGGTGCGGATGCACCTCGGACAGATGCACCTGAATGTGAAGTTGGTCTTCCTGATACTTACCTCTCTCCAACCACAGACAGCTGTGAGAACATAAGTTTAGCTACAACAGACAAAGGTAGGTTGCTAGAGGTATAACTCATCTATACATTTGTGACTGGATTCTGTTGCATGGAAAAAAGAAAATTGTAAACTATGTATTTTTTCTTCAGTTGTGCTAGTTCACAAAAAAAAACAAATAAAAACCCAAAAAAGCCAATTTAGCATGAGTATCTATACATTTGTGACTGGATTCTGTTGCATGGAAAAAAGAAAATTGTAAACTATGTATTTTTAGTTGTGCTAGTTCACAAAAAAAAACCCCCAAAAAGCCAATTTAGCATGAATGGGTTTTGACTTACTTTCATTTTAAAAAATACTGACAGTTGTATTTTGTGGGGAGACCTTCTTGTGGCCTTCAGTATCTGAAGGGGGTCTACAAGAAAGCTGGGGAAGGACTTTTTGTGGGGGCTTGGAGCAATAGGATGAGAGGTAATGGCTTCAAATGGGAAGAGGGGAGATTTACATGAGAAATTAGGCAAAGTTCTTCACTAGAAGGATGGTGAAGCACTGGAACAGATTGACCAGGGAAGTTGTGGATACCCCATCCCTGGATGTGTTCAAGCCCAGGTTGGATGGGGCTCTGAGCAACCTGCTCTAGTGGGAGGAGTCACTGGAGGGGGGTTGGAACTAGATGATCTTTAAGGTCCCTTCTAACCCAAACCATTCTTTGATTTTTATGATTGCACTTAGTTATTTGATGATGAAACTAGTTTAAACTTGCAGCTGAAGAAAACTGAGTTGTACTTTTTGCGACTTGTTGCTGACTTCTGGCAAGTGAACTCCTTAATCTAAACTTAAGAGACTTTGACATATTCCTTTTTATTTTAATCAACAGTGTAGTATCTGATCTGTCTTTCAGGTGATTTACCACACAGCGTTGTCTACCAAAATGAAGAGGGCAAGTGGGTGACTGATCTTGCATATTATACTTCATTTGATGAAGAACAAGATTTAAATCTGTCTGAAGATGATAAAATAAATGAGGAGTTCATTACTGGATGTATGTAATCTTTCCTTTTTATTTGGCTGTTATCTGTAATGGTGTTATCTGTTATCTGTAGTAGTGTTATCTGTAGCAGTGTTAAGCCGTCTCAGACTGAACTTCACGACAGTGTCTGTGTTATCCAAGCCAGAAGGGTTTGGATAATGTGTGTAGTGCTGTAGAAAAATTGATTCCTTAGCACCAAGATGCCATCTGTTTTTCCATCCAACAGGATTTCTCCTGGCTGCTTCTAGTTTCTAAGGCTGATATATGGGTGGGCTAATGTATTCTAAAGTTGTCCACAGCCCACTCAAGGTTCTTCTTTCTTTCAAAGAAAATGCTGCAGATGCTGCTGTCTAGAATTGTTTATTTTGGGTGAGTGGTTAAACAGGACTAAATGATTGAAATAGTGTGGGTTTTCTTTTTCTCAACACTGCAGTGGTTTTCTGCTGGAACAAGCTTTTTTTTTTAGCTTTTTTCTACCTGATGTTTTTTTTTTTTAGCAATTCTGCACTTGATCTGATGGGCAGACCTTTTCATGTGGCAGAAGACATGTCCTCACAGATTCAGTGCAGTTAGCATTTTTCTGGCTGCTAGTTTGCCTCTCTCTGCAGTGCTATGAACTTCTCTCACATAACAGGAAGAAATAACTCTTAGTGTGTCCCAAACTTGTCTCAGATGTCAAATTGAATATTGCAATATCTGTCCCTCAAAATTGAGTTTGGGTGTAATTTTGCATCATTAGAGGGTAGTGCTCAATGCACTGATACCCAGATGGAGACGGGTGGCAAATGCTGCCCCTGAGGAGTCTGTGCTAGGACCAGTGCTGTTTAATGTCTTCATCAGTGACACAGCCAGTGGGATCAAGGGCACCCCCAGCAGGTTTGCAGATGACAACAACCTGAGTTGTATGGTCAGCATGCTGGAAGGAAGGGAGGTCATCTGGAGGGACCTGGACAAGTTTGAGAAGTGGGCCCATGTGAATCCCATGAGGTTCAAGGCCAAGTGCAAGGTCCTGCACCTGGGTCAGGGCAACACCTGGTATCAGCAGAGGCTGGGGGATGAAGGGCTGGAGAGCAGCCCAGAGTGAGGGTGCTGGTGGGCAGAAAGCTGGACAGGAGCCAACAATGCATGCTCACAGCCCAGAAGGCCAATCATGCACTGGACTCCATCAGAAGAAACGTGGCCAGCAGATGAAGAGAGGTGAATGTGCCCCTCTACTCTGCTTTGCTGAGGCCTCAGCTGGAGTGCTGTGTCCAGCTCTGGAGCCCTCAACACAGGAGCAATAGGGACCTCTTGGAGTGGGGCCAGAGGAGGGCCACAAAAATGATCTGAGGGCTGGAGCACCTCTTCTGTGAGGCCAGGCTGAGATATTTGGGGTTGTTCAGCCTGGAGAACAGAAGGCTCTGGGGAGACCACCCTGCAGCCTTCCAGTACTTAAAAGGGGCCTAGAAGAAAGCTTAGGAAGAAGTTCTTTACTGTGAGGGTGGTGAAACACTGGAACAGGTTGCCCAGAGAACTGGTGGAGGCCCCATCCCTGGAGACATGCCAGGTGGGGTTGGATGGGGCTCTGCCAGCCTGCTTTAGTTGCAGATGTCCCTGCTCACTACCATGGGGTTAGACTAGAAGACCTTTAGAGATCCCTTCCAACCCAAAGCATTCTATGATTCTATTGAAATAGTCATGACAGCACTTAAAGACTTATGCCCTATTTTAATAAATGTTCTCCTTGGTTTGAAGCTGAAGCAGCAGCTATGATTGCACAAGACCAGGAAGAATTTGAGAAGACACACAAACTCCTGCAGGTAACTGATTATCTCCAGGCAAACAGAATCACTCTTTCTTTTATTTTCAAGTTACAACTTCTGACGTCTCTTCATCTGCAGGTGGGAAAAGACATTCTGAATGTGTCAGAGTTAGCAGAGACTTCCTGGAGATCTGCCAATAGCTGTGCTCTGCTGAGGTCAGCTGACGTGGAGAAGGATGCCAGTTACCTCCGCCTGTCCTTGGGGGAGTTCTTTGGTCAGAGGTCTGAGGCCCTGGGGTGCCTTGGTGGAGGCAGCGATGTGAAGCGGGTACGTACTGAGCTGCGTTCGTGGTAGGGCCCAAGGGAAGGATGAGAACTGCAACAGGCAGCACTACTTCTAGCAGAATTGGCCTGTTCTGTCCTGCTGTGGTCAGAGGTTGAGCAGCAGAGCGTGCTTCCAGGCAGAGGAGGTGACAGCATGTTTACTTTCTTTTATCTAACCAGTAGAAATAAGTTGTTAGCCTATTTTATGTATAAATTGGAAGTATTTGGATTAGGCATTTCCAATGGTGGGAGGCTTGTGTTATTTCTCAGTGGTACAACACCAACTGGGGAGGCACTTGTGGCTGAAGCTGCTTTGCAAGCCCACTGAAGCTGTGTATTAATGATTGAATCTATCATGCTGTATTGTGGGGTAATTTTTTTCTTTTTTTAATAGCCATCCTTTGGTTACTATATTACATCTCCAAAGAAAAGGCAACCTGTTGCTTTGCTGAGGCAATCTGATCCATCAGGAGGTGATGCTGGCCAGGAGATTTCACAGCTGTCTGAGGTGTTTCCAGGTAAGTACAGAACAGAAGGGTCAGCCCTAGGCAGTGGATGTAATAGTAGTTAACAATTCCTTGTATACAGCTATTGAAGACTAGTAAGAGCAATCCGTGATAGATAAACTCTAGTTTTAATTCACCAGATATCTTTTTTGCTGTTGAGCCTCCTCTTCCTCCCTTCCTTCCCCCAGAAAAACATAACCTAAATGCTTACAAGACAGAAAATTCTAGTACTAAGTACTAATCTAATTTCAGCATTTCCAGATATTAGATCACTACCAGAATGTCTTGTACTAATTCAAGTCTATTCAGAGTCTTCTTGTTGAAAAAGCTGTATTGCCCAAACCCCAGAAAATTGGTACATTTGCTCATTTAGGTATAAGGATATAGGGAAGAAGGAAAACAGCCTGAGTTCTAGCTGAGCTGACAGTGTGTGCATGAAAACATAGTCTGAGTTCTTTCTTGTCATCTTTAAAAAACCAAAGCTACAATGCCATGATATTTGCTTAACTTAGAGTAATACTACAGGACATTCCTCCAAAATGTGATGTGTAAATATTGTAGCACTTGTTTTCATGTGTATCTAGCCTATCAACTTAATAAGGTATGTTTAGGAAAGGATGAATTTCTTTTGAAGCATCTCTACTGCTTTTAGTAGAACCGTGGCAACCTCAGTCTTGGTGAACCTGCTTGTGCAGGCACTGCAGTGATTAAACACTTTTTTGTGTTGGTGAGAAATGCCCACCAGGCTTTTCTGGAGCTCACCTCCTTGAAATGGCTTTACAGCTGTAATTTACCTCATGCTGGGACCTTGCAAATATTTCTGATGGGTCTTGCCTGCTTAAGGAGTAGCAAATGGAGAGGCAGCTGAGCGGTCAGCAACCTGAGGAGGGTCTTACTTGAAATATGAAGTATGTCCAAACCCCAACTATCTGCTGTAAGAACAGAATTAATGAAAAAAAAAAACCCTCAAACAACCCAAACAAACCAAAAAGACAATAAAAAAGAACCCAATATTCCCCCTAGAAACCCCAAAACAAAGATATTTATTGTTTCATATTTGTTTTATCAATGATCGGAGTGTCTTTAAAAGTTGGTTTTAGTGTTCTGGGGAGCTCAGATGTTTTCTTTCCAGCAGGAACTGGTTTGTGGGAATGGTAGCCTCTAGATCTCATATCAACAATACCTCCTAGTTTGGGTTTGATGTTTTAATCAAGAGGATTATTTGTGGGTTTGAATGTTTCAGAAATGTACCTGTCCCTCCAAAACATAGTCGTTCAGACCCACCAGTTCACTGCTGTCTACCTCAGTCTCAGCAAAGGATTTCTGGTATCTAATCTAAATCTACCCTCTTTTGGTCTGAAGCTGTAACCTCTCATCCTATCACTACGTTGCCTGATAAGTCCCTCTTCACCTTTCTTGTAGGTCCACTTTAGGTACTGGAAGGCTGCAGGAAGGTTTCCCTGGAGCCTTCTGTTCTCCAGGCTGAACAACCCCAACTCTCTCAGCCTACCTTCCCAGCAGAGGGGTTCCAGCACTTGGATCATTTCTGTGGCCTCCTCTGGCCCAGCTCCAACAAGTTGATATCTTTCTTGTGCTGGTGTTTAGACAGTTTACTTACTGTAAATGAATTCCCTGTCTTTTTCTTTGTTCTTAGATGGTGCAGAAGCACAAACAAAGGAAGATGCAAATTCTACCAGCTGTGAAGGTGCATGGAATGGAGTGGATACTGCAGCTGGAATATGTAAAAGCATTAATGCAGAAGCTGCTACCAAAAGTAAAGCAAAGGTATTTCTCTTGTGTTTTTCTTCTGTTAAGTGCAACTATGAGCTTGAACAAAATTCAGATAACTCCAGTTATTTTTGTTTCTTTGAATATGGCTGAATTTGGACTTTGGTATCAGCTCACTCCTTTTTATTTTTATTGATCATTTGAATCCTAGCAGGTGCCACTGTCAGGATGGTTTCCTTAGAACACCATGATCCTGTAGTGAGTCACCTGTTACTGTGACCACCTCATTTTCTTTTTTCTCCCTACCTCTCTTTTGGAGTTGCTTGGTCTGCCAGCCCACAGTTTTACAGAGATTCCTAGGCTTTTGATCTTCTGCAATCAAGTTGCTGAATTTCAGCTATGTCTTCCCCTTTTTTTTTTTTTAAAAAAAAATGAAACAACTTGTCTTTAGTATGTGAATAAAGTCTTTTAGTTGATAAAATTAAAAAAAATATTGATGTGATGTAAATCTGAGAGAGGTATATTTTCAGTTGGGTGGTCCTAGACACTTAGCTTCTCTGCCTTAACCTGCCATGTTTTTTTTCTGCTCAGGCAGAACACCCAGAGACCCATTCAGGTACAGGAACAGCCCTTCTCCTGTGTGGTTACTGAAAGGAATCAGTAGCCAGCAAGCTGGATTTAGTTTAGCTGATGAAATTATGAAAGCTGCAGACTTAAATGCAGCAGGACTGGTTGGACTGTTCTTCTGACTCTGTAATGTCTTCATTGCTTTTCTTTCTAATTTATCCTTATCCCTATTGGTCTGGGTACAAAATGAGTGATTTTGGGTTTTGATAACACATCCAGATTCTAATCTACCCTACCCTCAATTGGTGTAAGTTTAGGTCATCTTCAGTCTGATGTGGATGCTAAAATATTCTCAAACAGAAAAATCACAGTATGGTTGAGGTCAGGGAGCACTGCTGGAGATCATCTTGTCCTCCCCTTCTCACTCAAAGCCAGGTCAAATAGAGCAGGTTGATTGAGGTCTGGTCACTTTTTGAATATCTCCAAGGATGGGAGACTCTCTAGTCTCTGTGTCCTCTCTGGGTAACCTCTTCCAATGTTTGATTATGTTGACATTTAAACATAAGGAAAACATTTTTTAAATGGAATTTCTTATGTTTAAAATCGTGTATGTTGCTTCCTTTCTTCTTACTGGATACCTCAGAGAGGAGTCTGGGTTGGTCTTCTTTACTCCTCCCTCCTTCTCACACATGAGGTATTTATCCACATTGAGAATATTTCCTCATGAAGGGTTGGTCTTCTTTACTCCTCCCTCCTCTCACATGAGGTATTTATCCACACTGAGAAGATTTCCTCATGAGCCTTGTCTTCTTGAGGCTAAACAATTCCATCTCTCTCCTCATATGGCAGATGCTCTAAGCTCTTGCTCATCTTTGAGGCCCTTCACTAGACTCTCTCCAGTATGTCCATGTCTCTCTTCTGCTGGAGAGTCCATAACTGGACACAGCACTTGAGATGTGGTTGCACCAGTGCTGAGGAGAGGGGAAGGATGACCTCCCTAAGCCTGTTGACTCTTACTGCAGCCCAAGATGATGCTGGCCTTCTTTGCCACAAGGGCATGTTGCTGGTTCACGGTCAACTTGAAGTCTGCCAGGACCCTCATGTCCTTTCCTGCCAAGCTGCTCTGCAGCTGGTTGGTCCCTAGCCTGTGTGGGTGCCATGGGGTTCTTCCTCCCCAGGTACTGACCTTGGTGTTTCACTTTGAACTTCGTAAGATTCTTCTCAGCCCATCTCTTTGGCCTGTTGAGGTCATGGGATGACAGCCCACTCTCCTGGTGTATCAACTGCATCTCCCAATTGTGTATGCTATTGGAACTTTCTGAGCAGGTGCTCTGCCCCATCTAGGCCATTAAAGGTGATGTTGAACAGTACTGGGCCCCATTTTTATCCCTGGGTATTCCACTAGGGAATGGCTGGCCTTCTGCTGGACTCTGTGCTGCTGGTCACAACCCTCTGGATCCTAGAATCTTTAAGGCTGGAAAAGACCTCTGAGATCATCAAGTCCTGACCCCAGGGCTCAAGCTGTGCCTCCTCAGTGCTGAGTCCAGGGGTGTGATCCCTTCCCTACCTCTGCTGGCCACACTAGTTTGGATCCAGGCCAGGATGCTGGTGGCATTCTTGGCCACCTGAGCACCCTGCTGGCTCATGTTCATCTGGCTGGCCACCAGCAAGTTGTAGGTCCTTTTCTGCCAGGCAGTTTCCAGACACTCTTCTCCCAGCCTGGAGCATAGCCTGGGGTTATTGTGACCCAAGTGCAGGACCCAGAAGTTGAGGACTTTGGTTGTTCAGCCAGTTTTCAGTCCAGTCTACTTATCTACTCCATACTTCATGAGGGTGTTGTGCAGACCTGCCTGCACACCTACAAGAGGACAGGTGTGTTTTTTTTTTTATTCCTGAATATATGTTTAGCTAAGAGAGGTGGGGAGATACTGTTGTGTGGACATGACTGCTTACTTATTCCATGCCCTTGGTGAAGAACAGCCAGTGTGAAAACTATGGAGGAAATGGGAACAGAGTTCAGCCAGTGTGAAAACTATGGAGGAAATCAGAAGAGATAGAACTGTGGCAATACCTTTGTCTTCCCAGAGTAGAGAGGCAGATGATTTCAAGTTAATTAGGAAAACAGGGTGAAATTGGTCTTTCCTCTTTCTTCCCCATTGGGTTTTAATCCTAGTTTTTCCAAGTGAATTCAGGCATTTTAGGATTTCAAAAGTTTCACAGAAACTGAGGCTTCCTGGCAGCCAATCTAATCTTAAAAAAAAAAAAAACCACTTCATGGAGTAGACTTAAATCAGGGCAGTGAGAACGATGCCTATTGCAGTGCTCTAAACAAGTGACTAAAATGTGACAACTAGAAATGTTAATATTTTGCATTTTAGTATATGGTAATGTTAAAGCAAACAACACTCCACAAAAATGTCTTAATTTGGTGCTTACACGATGCCTATTGCAGTGCTCTCGACAAGTGACTAAAATGTGACAACTAGAAATGTTAATATTATTTTGCATTTTAGTATATGGTAATATTAAAGCAAACAACACTCCACAAAAATGTCTTAATTTGGTGCTTACCTGCTTTTGGGTCGTTGTAGGGTGGAATTGCTAAAGGGAAGTTGGAAGACAAGCTACCAAATCATTCTGACTCTGTCCTGAGCATCAGCACGATTGCATCTGCCATTGCCAACGCCTCCGCCAGCGCTGAGCCTTCCCAGCTGGCTGCCATGATGATGGCACTCTCCAATAAGAGTAAAAAACCATGTCTCCTTCCTGGAGTTGCTAAAGAGGTGGAACTTTCTGCTCATCAGATGTCAGCCAGCAATGTGGAAAATTGTGCATTTGATTTGGAAAAATACCTTAAAAAAACCGACGAGATCGGACATGAAAGCGACTACGAGAGTGTTGTGAAACATGAAGCCTCTGTCCAGAACCTCCTGCCTGATACCTCTTTCCTGGGCACAGGTAAAAGTAAGGATGCTCTTGCAGAAGACTTGATCAATAAACAGAGCAAGCAGCAAGAAAGAGTGAAGCGATTTCTGAGTTATTTTAATGAGGAAAGTGACATTCAGAATTTCTCTAATCTGTTTGGTGTTCCCAGCCATGAGGACGTAACTGCAAACAGTGTTAAATATTCAACAAAGTTGTCAGATTTAGGAAACAGTAAACACTTACAGTCAGTGCATACTGATCTCAGATCAGATACTCTCAGTAGCCAGGCCTCACCTGCTGGAAATGAAGCACAGATGTGTGGAATTCCTTCAGCTGCAGACAGGGAAGTGGCACATAACAGTCTGCTTGCTTACCAGAACAGTGATCTCACCAGCAGATGTTCCATCAGTGAAGAGACAGAAACAGTAGGCCAAGCAACAAATACTGTTCCTGAGCCACATAATGATTTGGTGGAGAGGAGTACAGGACATACTCTGTCACTTGCCAACTTAAAACCTGCCATGCAACCTAGTAAATACGTCTCATTGAGTCCTACAAAAGCAAAGCCTACACAGAAATTGAGCAATGGGGAAAAGAAGCAAAATGCAAACACGGAGAAGGGAAACAAAGATGCCAGTGCTGCTTGTGGTGGGAGTGCAAAACATGTAACTTTTGAGCAGCTCTCCCCAACGTCCCAGAGTAGTACTGGTAAGTAAACCTATATAAATATAACCAACTGTTGAAAAGGCTTTTCTTGGTGGTAGGCTTGTTCACTATGCCTGAATAAATATTATTAAATTCTGTTTCTTTACCAGACTGTAAACCTGACTGTGCCTTGCAGCCTCTGGAGGATGAGCAGTGCAGCTTCAGACCTTCAACCTCACCACTAATTCACTCGTCTCCTAGCGAGACTTCCGGCACAGCATTCTCAGGGTAAATTTCTTGTTGCAGACTATAAGAATATTTTGTTAAGGGTTAAGGATGTTTTTGAGGGATCAAGTTTTAGTTTGAATGCTGTCCTTGATCTCAGTTTATAGATGATCTTTATTAGGTTAAGACTTCATTCTTAGACTAAGCTTTGTTTGCTTTTTATTACATTTATGAGGAAGCAGTCTTAAGAAAGTCTTGACTTCTTATTTTCCTCACTGTCCTGATGAGACTGATGCTGGGTAGGAACATTGCTGTTTCTGCCCAGGATTACCCAGTAATGCAAGAATACAAAACATTCAGGCTGTTGGCTGGCCAGATACATCAGATACATAAAACTTTGTCTTGTCAGAGCTATAAAATCCCATATTGATTAATTGCTGTTCTAGTGTAACTGCTCTGTTACAAATAGTTGTTTATGCTGTTAATTAACAGATAACAGATATGATAACAAAGCTTGATGTTGTATAGACCAATGAAGCTGTGGGGTTTCAAACATTTTTCAGTCAGTTTGGTTCTCTGATTCTTTCCACTGCTTGTTGTGAGAGGATGGGCAGAAGTATGTGTATTGCTTTTGATCACTTCAGATTTTGATAGTGCAGTTTGTGTCTAAGGCTTAAGCTTTCTTAGCAGCTGAAAGGACAGTGGTTTTTAAAATGAGCTCCTAGAACAGTAAGTGTCATACAAGCTATAAGATTACAACTAAGCTGATGGTGTAGTCTTAAACTTACAGATGTGGCCAGTAATCAATGGCCGTGTATGTTCCTGTAAAACAAGGAGACAGCTGATTTCTGTGGCCTACAAGAAACCTGGGGAGGGACTTTTAATGAGGTCTTGTAGTGACAGGACAAGGGATAATGTGCTCCAACTGGAAGAGGGGAGTTTTCAATAGGAAATTAGGAAGAAGTTTTTCACTGTGAGGGTGGTGAGACACCAGGTTGCCCAGGGAAGTTATGGATGCTTCCTCACTGAGTATGTTCAAGGTGAGGTTGGATGGGGCAAGGAACATGCTGGTCTAGTGGGAGATGTCCCTGCCCATGGCAGGAGTGTTGGAACTAGGTGATCTTTAAGGTCCTTTCCAACCCAAACTGCTCTATGATTCTCTACCTGAACTGTTAAGTTCACTGGTACTTAACTCTAGTTCATGTGTTGTACATGATACTGGAGTCGCTGGCTGGCATTTCTCTGGAGTTCAAATGTGCAGAGGTGTGTGTATTTTTCTGAAGGTGTAATAGAGACATTAGCATTTTATAGAATCAAAATGTTTTAGGCTGGAAGGGACCTCTAGAGGTCATCTGGTCCAACTTCCCTACTCAAGTAGAGACCTCTCTACCTAGGTCAGGTTGCCCAGAGCCCTGTCAACCCTGACCTTGACTTCATTTGACATTCTCCCATCTAGTTAGATACAAGTTATATTGATTCTCCTTTTTTCTTTTAATAAATTGTTGTGGTGTTACCCGAGTTCAGTTGTGGAGCTGATGCTTTCTCTTATGGATTTATAACCAATGCAAATGAGTTTTATGTACATCAAAGCCAGAACTTGTAAAGATTGAGAGCTGGTTTCTCCTTTCTGCTGACTGCCAACCAGAATGGCTAAGCTGACTTTCATAATACTATAGCTAATGTGTAGCATGGATTTTCTTGAGGGTAGCATTAGGAATATATTCTAATACTAACATACTTCATTTTTCAGGTCTGAAGCTGACTTTACTTGCACATCAAATTATCAGGAATCTTCTTGCAGAGAGAACGTGCTGCCTCAGTCAGTCTACTCCAGTCCTAGCCTGAGCAGATTAACCTATGTCTCTGCCTCTGACACTACCCTGAAGAACTCAGCTGGGATACATAACCCAGACACATACTGGGTAAGAAAACATTGAGCTGTATGTGTTAATTCCCGTCTTTTAAATCAAACAAAACAACCCCTTCCCCCTCACTCCCAAACCAATACGTTAGTATTGGTGTTATCTTCAGATCTGAACACTTCCTATGGCACAATCTATGTAAGGAGTGGTGCCCTCTCCTGTTAACACTCAGGTCAGGTTGCCAAAGCTGCATGACTTTTAAAAGGTATTTTTTATTTTTGTTTGGTTGATGTGACCTGGTGAGCCAGCTCACCTCAGGCAGCCACCCTGAGTGCCCTTTTTAAAGGATTCTAACTTACAGTTTAGTTTCTACAACAATTTGAACAGGCTTTTTATTGTTCTTTCCCCTTCTTTTGTGTTCCTCTACCTGCCTCTCAAGTCCTATTTACTTAAGCTGAGCAGTTGCTTTATGCAGTAGATACTCCTTATTCCTGTTGTGTAGCTCACATCATAATGATGTTAGTGAACCTGTCAGTGAGTTCGGGCATCTGCTTCATTTGTGTGTGTGTGTTTTTGTTGTGGTGTGGTTTGTGTTTTTTTTATAGTAACTTCCCTAGAGAATGACTGTATAAAATCATAGGAAGCAAAACATTTCCTGGGCCTGTGGAAACTTTTAGTCAGGGGTAGCTTCAGAGAACTGAGCATTATTCTGGTGTTAATTCTTCATGTGGTGGCTGAGCCTCCCCACCCCAAACTGCTCACTCACTCCCCCACAATGGGATGGAGGAGAGAACTGGAAAGACAAGAGGGTGGGGGACCTGTGGGTTGAGATCAGCACGGTTTAATAAGCGGTGGGGCTGGGGGGAGGTGATGCAACAGCAGTTACTTGCTACCGGCAGAGCACTGCCCAGCCAGGCTCCAAGCAACAGGGGCTCTGGGAAAGTTCCTCCACAGTTTTGTTGCTAAGTGTGATGTCCCCTATCTGCTCTTCTAAACTCAGTCTTGCTGCCTGTTGTCCCTGTGTGGCAGGATGAGAAGGGCAGTGAGCTCAGCACGACCATCGTTCGCGCCAGCCCCACACCTTCGCAGGAGCAGCCCAGGGAGAACCCCGAGCAGCACTCGGCCCAGGGAAACAGGAGGGAAGCACTGCCTGACAGTGACCTGAAACCAGCTGATGAGCTCACAGGCCTCCAAAGGAAACTTGATGATGTACTGGGTCAGGAACCGTCCAAAGAGGGTTCTCCAAAGAATGAGAAGCAGCTTGGGACTGTTCCTTCAAGTGCAGCAGCCAGTGACAGGGAGCGAGGCCGTGTTCCATCAGCTTTGCCAGGGGAACCCTCCACGTTTCAGCCGCTCGCTGGTGCGCAGGGAGCACGGTGTGACCCAGTGAGCAGAGCACAGAGACAGGGGCTGCCATCCTGGAACGTGTCACCCCTGTACCCTGGGCTGAGCACTCACGTGCCATTCAGTCAAAACTCATCTGCTGAGCCACACGTCCCGAATCCAAGCTTTAAATCCCATGTCACCACCTCTGAGAGTCAAACAGTTTCTTCCTCTGTTCCCATGTTGCTTACAGGACATTCTCTTGCAATGCCCCCATTTGCACAACAGCATCTGGGAAATATCCCATCGACTACAAACACAGTTTTGTCTCAGTTGCATGGCTGCAGCTCCACAGGTTTTGCTCTTCCAGCAGGGGTTCCTTGTTCTGGTATCCCAGCAGGACACGTTGAGAATCCACTTCTGGTTGGAATTCCTTTAGGTCCAAATATTGGTCCTGGCTCTTTCTGGATTACAAAGCAAAGCTGCAGCCACTCTACTTCCTGGAACAAGGATGTCTTAAATATGAAATCATGCACTGGACAACCTCTTGGATCTGGTAGAAATGAGTGGGAGTTGCCAAAGTCACCTGGTATTGGTAAGTGTGTTTTTTAGAGTGTATTTAAAATATAACTTTGGACAAGTTGATGCTATAGAATCATAGAAGAGTTTGGGTTGGGAGCGACCTCAAAGATCACTTAGTTCCAGCCCCCCTGTCATGGGCAGGGAGAGCTCCCACTAGACCATGTTGCTCAAAGTCCCATCCAGCCTGGACTTGAACACAAGTGTAACCACAATTATCCTTTATGCAAGTTTTGTTGGTTTTTTTTGTGTTTTTTTTTTTTTTTTAGAAACTGATTTTTTTATTTAATGATGTTCCTTGAATTCAGTGTCTATTCTCATGGTCTCCTTAATAGCCTTAAAATAACTTTCATAATCTAGAGAAATTTCTTTGACAGTTTCAGTGCATTTGTGCTTATTTTAAGGATCTAGACCTGCCTTTCATAGGAGGAGAGAGCCTAGCTGCAGTTCATGCTCAGCAAGACAAGCCATGCTCTGGGGATGCAGTTGTCTTTGGACAGTAGATGATGCTTCTGTCTCCAGCCTGACTTGGAAACTGCCAAGTGCCCTCTGCTGTACCTCCTGCTGCTTCTCTGTATCTTAACTTTGCTCTGAGTGCAAATCAGTGTTTCATTTTCAAGACTGCTTTTAACCTAAGATCTCTTCAGCTGTTTTTTGCTATACTTCTTTTTCCTGGCTAATTCTTTCAGACAAAATGAAAAGCTACTAGGGTTCAAGGGATGAATTTGTGACAGTTTATAGGTTATTTTCTGTTTATTGACTGTTCTAAATAATTGACCTTGTTAGTACATTTTAAAACAGTAAAATTTGAGCAATCTTACTGTTTTTTTTTAATACATATGATTTGCAGGGTTTTGTACATGTTTTTGAGCTTTGCAGATCTGTGTTCTAAGCCTCATTTTGGGCAAACTTGAGTTTTTGCACTTAATTTCCAGTCTAGTCTGACTAGTCTCAGTTTATATTTCCACCTTCATACTTGTACTAAATTTTCTTTTTTGGAGGGGGCTAAGAGTGTGTGGCTTAAAAAGAAAACTTGTTGCTTGGGTAACTAAAACCACTTCAGATGATTTTTTGTGTCTCTGAGAAGTCAAATGACATTTGGATTTGACTTTTTGAATGGTTTTAGGTTTGACATGACTACCCATTGATGGTTCTCTGGATGGGATGAAGACTGATTCTTGGTGTGCCAGAGAACCATTACCCCCATTTGAGTTCTGAGTAGTCATTATAACATTGCAATTCCTCTGAAAGAATTCTTTTGAATATTTTAGAAGTAAAGACTTCCTGGGAGTAAAACATTTCTTTTTGATTTGGTGCAAACTGTTCATGGCCATGCTTTTACAGCAAAAATCTTCTCTAGAAGTACTCACTTTTGCTGTAGGAAAAATGTCTGAACACTTTTTTTTAGGTAACAGTTCCACTGTGGTAAAAAAATCTTGTTTGATGGTTGGTGTTAATGTTCTAAAGATGTTGTAATACTGATATTCAGATTTTTTGAGTTGGGGTAATAATGATTAAATTGTGAACACTGAGATTTATTTTATGTAACGTGTGTGTATATATATGCTCTCTGGGTTAGTCTTTGCATGGGATGTCCATAAGTGTGTGTGTTTGTGACACTAGGACTCTCAAGAAAGATGCAGGTTAGAAACAATTGACTGAAATTCTGAGTGTCAGGCTTGTGGAAAACATTCCTATGAAATCTGTTTGAGTCAAACGTTTCCTTGCCCTGAAGCATTTGTCAAATGTTTGTAACCTTGACATGGTGGCAGCCAGAGTGCTTTTACTTCTGGATGCTTTTTTTTTTTTATTTCCAAAGGACACACAAAAGTGCCAGAAGAACTGAAGTTCCCTAATGCCTGTTGTGTGGGAATTGCCTCACAGACGGTTCTTAGCATCTACAACCCCACCCAGCGGTGGCTGGAGGTCAGCATTGGAATCCTCAGTGTTTCAGTTAATGGGGAAAAGGTAAGAGTCTGTTTTGTTTTTTTTTAAAGGAAACTATAGTAATAATGCTGCAATCTTAGCAGGTCTCTTTAGTAAAATTAGAGCTCTCTGTACAGATTTGGATTTTTTTCCCTATTTTATTGTTATTATGCACACAAGTGGTGTTCCCTTTCTTCAGCCAGGCTGCCTGACTCATTCCAGCAAGGGGGCACAGAGAGGTGGGTGCCACGTGGTGGCATTGACTTGTAGGATTGTTTTGGGTGAGTGATAGGTGGCATGTTTGAGTTAACTGCTTGTTCATTCCAACCTTTGTATATAGAAGTCAGTTAGGAAGGAAAACTTCCATGCTGAGGACTGCTACTGCTACAACATTTTGTGCAGTTTGCTCCCATTTTTCTTGCAATAAGGAGATCTTGAGGGACAGAATGAGAAATATTTGGAACAGGCTTCAAGCTCAGTGGGTTCTGTGGGTTATAAGTAGCTTGTAGACCATAGATTGAGTATCTTGCTCTTCAATTTTGTTAAGTTCTATCTGTTGCTGTTGTAGTAATAGTTCCAGAGGTAAAAGATCTCAAGAACATCAGAATGAGTCAGATTAAAGGTCCATCAATTGAATTTCATTTCCTTGACTAATGAATGCTCTTGGTAGAGAAGAACATTAACAACAGAACAAGCATCATGTACTCTGAGCCTGTGGCAGTTTGATGCCTGGAAATTTTTGAGCTAGTTGTTACTTCTGTTACTGGTTTTTGCTGGACTGCTCTTTATCTAGGTACTCTTTTGAAATTGTTGTGCTGTTCATAGTGGAGTTGTGCATTCAATACCCTGTGGCTTTTTTCCTTTTTGCAGTCAGGTTCTTGCTGGATTTTTTTGGTCTTTTACTGAGAAGTCGTGGATAATGATTCACTTTATATATTGCTGCTTTTTAGTCTTATTGAATCCCTCCTTAGGGGTATTTATAAGGATTTTTCTAGAAGTATATCTTCTGGTTTTGTACTCGTTTTCTCTGAATGTTTCCTCTTCAAAAAACCACCAAACTCCAATTCTGTGTTTGTTTATGAGAGTTAATATTTCTTACATATTTTCCTAGTCACTCAGTATCACAGGGCTCTTGCACAGCTCTTCAAACCTGAGATTCTGTTGTAGCAGGAGGTGACTTTTTTTTTTCTCCTGAAATTACTTTACAGCTGTCCCACCTACAGTTGTTTCCATGAATAATTATATATATTTAATTTTACTGCACAATATAATGAAAGAAACATTTTTTCAGTCAGGTCAACTCTTGAAATGCACAGAGTGTGATTCACTGTCTGTCTCCTACTTGAATATTATCTAAGAATGTTCACAGCAGAAACTTTAAGGCATCTGCACTAGAACTTACTGGCTTTCATTACCTGCTCTAGTTGCAGATGTCCCTG